CGTGTGCTGTCTCCTGGCTTGGTGTTCCCTGTGCCCTGCAGCGGCTCACAGCAAACCCTTTCAGTGGTCATTTGCTTTGCTTCATGGAAGGCGAAAGCAGGGCTGCCATCCACGTGAGCTGTGTCTCCTACGGATTGGACCGTGCGGCACACAGCAGCCCCATGCCTGTAGTACTCACAGGCTGGAACTCGGTGTGGGTAACATAGCAGCTTAGGGAGACCCAATCTCAAAATAAAAATAAAGAAATACAGACCGACTGAGGCTGCAGCCCCATGCAGAGATGTCTTAAATTTATGTGTAATTTCTCCATGATCATCAGTCTGATGGCTGGGATTTAAGAACTGTTTTCGGGTTCTTTTGTATCTATTTGACCACAACTAGAAGGAAGGACCCCAAAAGATACAGTGTTGGCTCTGTCTCAGCCCAGACAATTAGCATATAAAATCGGAGTTCGCTGTCTGCTTTATTCCAAGAACACACTTTATTCCCCGAGTTCCATTCTTTTTATGTCCTTTCAGCCCATTATAATTGAAAAAGCATTCTGCAATTTTGTAGCCAGAACTGAGATATACTGGTTAGAATCAAGAATGAGGTGAACGTGAGGGACTGTGGAGATGGCGTCTCCTCCGGCCATGGCCCTGCAGGGCTCTCCACGCATGTGTGGGAGGGGCCTTCACATTGAGCTGTGTCTGTTTATTTATTCATTGTACTTCTGGGGAGTGAACCCGGGGTCCTTGTGCTGAGCTAGGACCCTCCTCCACCCCAGCCCTTTCTCTTTTTTTAAATGCAGACAGTCTTGTTAAGTCAATAAATTGCCCAGAGTGGGCTCAAACTTGTGATCCTCCTGCCTCAGCCTCCCAGACTGCTAGGTTTCAAGGTTCCCGCCACCACGCCCAGCATAACTTTTAAGAACCATTGCCCTGACATTGCCGTAGTTTCTGGAGGGACAGAAGTGTTGAGGAGCCTCTACCGTAAGTCAGTCTTTGTTCTGTGTTCTGGTTTTGAAGTCACTTAATCCTGGACTGCGAGCTTATGATTCATACAATATCCCTAAAGTCACAGAGGCCCCTGCACCCCATGCTCACATCAGCCTATTCAGAGTAGCCGAGCAATACAAGCCAGGAAATGCCCGCCAATTGCTAAATAGATAAAGAGGCTCAGACATGCAGCCGGATGCTGTCCAGGCACCAGTCAGGTCCTGCTGTCTGCAGCAACGGCCTGGGGCTGGAGAGCTTCGTGCTGCCTGAACCAAGCCAGGCACAGAAAGGCAAGTCTACCCACTCGGTGTGGAATCAAAAGCAGTCATCCTCACCGAAGCTCAGAGCAGAATAACAGGAGGGCGACATAGAGGGGGAATTGATTGACCAGGTGCTGCCTCAGTTACACTTGCAAGGGAGCAAGAAGTCCGGGAGCCTCACAGCGCAGCAGGGCTCCGTAAATAACAGGGTGCTGCACATTTCCAAAGCCAGAAAGGGCTGCAGTGAGAGAGGGTTTCCCTGAACCCCCTACATAGCCCAGGCTGGATTTGAACTCATGGCAACCCTCCTGCTTCAGCCTCCCGAGTGCTCAACTTACAGGTGTGTGCCACCAAAGCTAGGCTTAGAAAAAAGGATTTTGGAATTTTTCACCAGAAAGAAATGGTAAATATTTAAAAATTTAGTTTAACCCGATGTAAACATTATACAATATATACATATTGAAACATCCAGTTTTCCCAGTAATAGGTGGAATGTTTTATTTTTATGTATCAGTTACAAATAAATTTTTTAAAATGCCAAGCTCCTGGTCTCAAAGATAAGAATTTTACCTCCTAGTGCGTCCATGTTCCAACTGCTTTTGGGAAACTTCAAGAAGGGGACTTAGGAGTTAGTGGCTCTGATTTCTGCTTACTTCTTTTTTTTTTTTTTTTTTTTTCTTCCTTGGTACCGGGATAGGAACTCACCAGGCGCTTGCAAGGCCGGCGCTTATGCCGCTGAGCTAAATATCCAGCCCAGATTTCTGCTGACTTCTACATGTAGAGACCATGGGTAAAATCGCTTGGATAAAATAAGCAAAGGGCCAGGCCTGGTGGCGCAGGCCTGCAATCCTAGCACTCAGGAGGCTGAGACAGGAGAATGACAATGAATTCAAAGCAGACTGGGCTGCCTAGCAATGCCCTCTCTCAAAAAAATCAAAATAAACAAGCAGACCCCTGCGGTATTACATGGAAGACACCTTTGTCCACGTGGGGGCTGTCTGAAAACCACGAGAACCAGCTGGAATCCAGGGCACTTCCCTTAGGGAAGTCTGCGGTTGGGCTCCCCGACTAGGGGTGCAGCCTTGTTGGGGGGGGGGGGATGGGTTAGAGTTCAGCAGCTACCAAAATATCTCCAGCAAGGGGCCACGGTCTGTTTCCGGGCAGGCCTTGAGCAGAACTCTACTCTCCTGTCGCAGTCGTGTCCCCCACCATGCTGAGCTCTAGCTGGACGTGGCCGGCACCCATGGCCTCGGGAACACGTGGGGCTGCCCCCTTTCACGTGCTGGTCCTAAGCTCTTTCTGTGCTGCGCTGGGGCCCTGCGCTTGCCCTTCAGTCACCGCGCTCCCCTCTCGCCACGGCTCATGTGACCGCTGCAGCGCTGCAGCCTCCAGCCCTGCACCCTGAGCTCCGCGTCCGGCCAGCGCTGTCGCCAGCTGTGCCACCTCCCGGGCGGGGTAGGGGCGCAGCGACCTGGAGTTACAGCCAGCTGCCCTCCACCTGGAAAACTGCTTTCCAGCCGGGTGAAGTCCATTTCACTCCTATTTCATTACAGCCCTGCTAGTTTAGGTCTTTAATTCTAAAACCGTAACACCTCTTCGGTCCAGACTCCTGTCACATTTTAACCTTTCTCTTTCTTCGGCTGTGCCTTCTCTTCCACAGACCCAACAGGGTGCCTTCTCTATGTCATATCGCTCCCCCTCGTTGGGTCAATTATTAAACATCAAAGCTTGAGAAGGAACAAAGTGTCTCAGGAGAGTGTCCAAGTCAAACAGAAATCTTGACTGGCCAGGCTTTTACCTAATGTGGACTGGAAACCAAACCTACTCCCGTCACAGTAGATAATGAGTAGGAAACACTTAGGGTATCCAACCCATATAAATATTTGAACTATAGATTTTAATTCTTTGATGTGTGCAGAAGAAGATAACTTAAGAACAGTATAGAATGATTAAAACTTTATGATTTTAGACTCATTCAAGAATTTTGATTTATATTTTAAAATTCAGTTGGTTGACAAGTTTCTTTGCACTGTTTCATGAAAATTATTACTTAACATGGCCCTTTAAGTCCATAAAAATTGAAGTACTTAAAAAGAAGTTAAAAGGGCATTCTCAGCATTTACAGGCTACGTGCAGGAGCTTACACAGCATGTCAAAAAATAGTGAATGCTTATTTTCTAAAAAATGCGTGAGAGTGAAGGACACATTGCTGTGAGGTCCCCTCAACACCCTCCTCGGGTGTGACCCAGCCGGGTGTGACCCAGCCTTTGGCTCTGACACTTTCTGCAGCAGCCCTGGAGTCTTCTGTCACGAGCTCTTCACTTGGGGCTGCCTTAGGGCCTTGAATCGATTCAGATGTTTACCTTTCGCGTCATCGGGCATTGGGGAAGAGCTGGAAGTCATGGCATCAGCACTGTGTGACTAGCGTCGTTGTACCAATGTTTTCACAAGCCGCCTTCCCGGTGACTAGTGTCAGAAGCTGCGTGGTCATACCTTGTTTTCACACTCAGGAGAGAATACTTCAGAGCTGCTGCAGAAAGCGCCGGGAGTGACAGGACAAGTGTATGGGGGGCAGATCTTGAGGGAAATTAACAGCCGTTGTGTCTTTTACTGCAGTAAATTTTTAAAGTTAAACACATCGGGGGCTGGGGATTTAGCTCAGCGGCATAAGCGCCTGCCTTGCAAGCAGGCAGTCGTGAGTTCGATCCCTGGTACCGATAAAAAGGAAAAAGACAAAAAAAAAAAAAAAAAAAAAAAAAAAAAAAAGTTAAACACATCGTATTTTCTGATTAGCCCTGTAGTCCTAAGCACCCTTATGAGCTCCATGATAGTGTGAAATGTGGACCTAAGGGTAAATAAAATGACCCCAAAGACCACAGCTGGGGGCAGGGGATGAACTCCAAGAGGAACTGAAGGTGACAGCTGTGGAGCAAGAGAGGCAAGTCAGAAAACGAGTGTTTTCACATAGCAAGTGAGGCACAGAGAAACTGGGCTGCCTGGGCACACTGCTGGTGCTTTGTAAACCACCTGCTCTGTGGTTCCTCAAACAGTTAAATGGAGAGTGACCCTAAGTGCCAGCTCAATTCTGCTGGGTCAAATCTAGGGAAAGTGCAAGCAGAGACTCTATTGGGTATTTACACAGCCCAGAGGACAGGGGACGGCACAGCCATGACAGGCGACCTGTCTGGGGCAGCATGTGTGTCCCTGATGGATGATAAATAACACCCACTGTGAACACGAGTTGGGGGTTGCTGGGGTTGTGACCTGATTACATACCACAGGCCACAGCTCAAGCGGCAGAAGCTGAGCTCTCAGAGCCCGGGACTGGGGTCCGGCAAGGCCACCCTTCCGGCCTGGAGGAACCATCTCCCGCCACCTCTGTACAGCAGCTCTGTGCGCCTTGCACCACAGGGAGTACTTGGGCACCTGCTCTCCTGATGCAGACACAGATCCCTCAGTCAGAGTGTCACCCCACAACCTCTTCCTTCATTCTGGCGGTGGGGAAGGCTCACCCCGAAAAACAGAATAGAAAGTCGCTTCGCCTTTGAAAGGAGGGAGATTCTGGCACACGCGGGGCTGTGGGAGAATCTCAAGGACTGATACTGAGTGAAACTCACTGAAGGCAAATGCAGCAGCTCCAGGCACGTGACATCTTCAGAGCATCAGACCGTCAGACAAGGCAGGCGTGGCCAGGATCTAGCTCAGCGGCACAAGCGCCTGCCTGGCAAGCACGAGGTCCTGAGTTTCATTCCGGGGACCAAAAGAAAAAGCAAATCACAGACAAGTGGGGTGGGAGGAAGGAGGTAGTGGAGTTTCACTTCTACAAAATGAAAAAGTTCTGGATACCAATGGAGATGGAAGCCGCACAACATGGTGAATTGCCACCGGTTTTAAACAAAAGAGACCGCTGAGTAAGACTCCTGGTGACGCCCTCCTGGTGAGCCCCGAGAGGCAGGAGGTGAGCCCCACATCCGTGCCTCGGTTTTATGCTTTTTTCCATACGTCCTCCCAGGTCTCCCCGTCCACCTTCCCATAGTGTCTTCTGAATCTCCAGTATGAATTAGAAATTAACCCTTTTAGTGTCTCAGCATCACAGAGATTAAATGATCTGTTTACTGAATTATGAGAAAATCAGCTTGGGGACTTCCAAGTCCTGCAAAAATGTAAATAATTGAACAACACTTGTCAGATGTTAATTGACTCTAAAACAGAGATGGAAAGTCCCAGATCAATTGTACCTTCTGGTTTTTTTCCTTTTTGACTAATGCAGGGAATATCTGAGTCTTGACACCCAATGAATACTCATGGATAAATGAGTGTGTGTGTGTGTGTGTGTGTGTGTGTGTGTGTGTGTGTGTGTATTATGGGAAAGATTTCCTTGCTGAAGGGAAGGAGAAATCCAGCGTCTCACACAGCCAGCCAAGAGCAGAACTCAAGCAAAGCATTTTGGAATAGCACTACATTGCTATAGGAATAATTCCCTTTTTAAAATACAGCTAATAATTGTCCATTTAGACAGAGTTATTTTTCAAGTGCAGCAAACCAGTTAGAATGGAAATTACTTGGCTATCACTTAGTGGGCTCCTTTTGGGAAGGAAAAATAAGCAAAGCCGCTGAAACTTCTGTGTGTCCGTCTTTATGGGTTTGCACGGATTGCAGTGCAAAAATTTCAAGGTTTACTAGGCCAAAGAGAAAGGAAATAGTCTGTCCTGCTAGAAAGAAGGGAACTGGAGCAAAGAAATTTAGTTTCTGCAGTGCTTTGCATTACAGTTTATATATAAATATGAATAATGTACGAGAACATTATTCGTGCACCTAGGATGATGGCCCCAGCTTTCTAAATAACATTGTGTGCTCACGGCCTCTGTGTCACTGCTTCTCGGTTTCGTCACTGCTTCTCGGTCGTCACTGCTTTACTCTTCCGTGGGTGTGAAGGTGGGGGGGGTCAGCTTGACCATGCTTCGGGGCGCTGACCACCTGAGAGGACCAGGTGGAGCTAGTGTGGACCGTCCCTCCACAGAGGGCTGTGGCCCCTGGGTCCCCGGAGTCTAAGTCCCGGTCCCGAGCAGACTTGGACAGATGGAGGCCATTAGCACAAAAATTCTAAAACTTAAGATTGTAATGTTCGAATTCAAGGACACAAATGCGAAGGAAATGTGGGGATGAGACGCTGTTGTATTTTTATATAAGAGAAACGGAACGTAGAGCAGATTTCCTGAATCACTGCCGGTCCTTAATGAGACCACGTGGACTGCTCTGTTTTCTCTCTGTCCAGCACCGCCCGCCCCGGCCCAGGTGTATGCAGCAGGGCACTGGTGTAGCAGGTGGGACAGCCGCGGTTCAGTCCCTGGCACTGCGGAAAGCGACCCAAACCCAGAGCCTGTTCCTTCTCCCAGCAGAGGAACACATTTATGGAGGGACAGCATTACTGAACCCCATAGACCACTCCGCACCCCACTGTCACGGCACTGAAAGTGACATCATGTTTGCCTTACTGGATGTTAACTTTATCTTAGTCACACATGACAGTGGTGCAGCTGAGCAGTTTTGCTGTGACAGCACGCAGGCTGCCGCACCTGCTGCCTCCCAGCACCTGCCCTCCATCCTCTCCCTGTCCCTTCCTGTGCCCCGTCCCTCTCCTTCCATGCTGTTCCTATCGCACAGGTCCCTTTCTGGTTCCCAATTTCCTCCTTAACAGAAGAGGCCAGGGATTCATTCTGGGTGGGTTCTTTCCTTTCTCCCTCGGGAGCTTCCTAGAGTGCCGTCTTCCCACTTTACGTCCCACCCCTCCTTGGCTGTCACCTTGCAGTAGCAACCTGACTGCCTCAAGCTTGGCTACCTCAAGCAGGAGCTGCAGTGCCCTCTGTGGCGGGGGACCACACATCTGCAGGGCAGCTTCTGCTCCCTCCCGAGGCAGGGGATGGAAGGGCCCACCTGAGCAGAGCTCAGTGGGGAGACGCCCAGCAGGGCCTGGGGTGCACCAAGTGGATCTGAGGCCAGCAGGCAGCCCCTTTGGGAAGCTGTTACAGCTGAGCTCCAGTCCCCAGTGTGCTGTGCAATCGCTGAGGACACAGTGTGGGAAACAGGGTCAAAGTCCTCCCTTCCCAACCGCACCCCTGCCTGCTCCAGGCCAGGACGGAGCAGGACATGAGTGTGCTGTGCCATGCTGGCCTCACCGGGGGTCGCACAGGGGGTGGGGTGTAAACGGCACTGGGGGGACTCTTGGTAGCAGAACCACCGTCAGGCTGGCAGTTAGGGTTCATGGGCAGCACAGTGAAGGGAATGCCTCAGGCTGCCAGCTCCTCTGGAATACTCAGTTGGTTCATTCATTTCCTCTCCTTCCCACAAGGCTTTTAAAGCACTAGGGATTCGGCTGCCGTTGGTGCCATGTCTGTGTCTGTTCCACCTCCTGTCCTCTAGAGAAGAAGGTGAGGCCTCACAGTTCTAGCCCCCGTGAGAGACCCTGCCTGGCCTCGACAGCTTTGAGAGGACTCAGGCGGGAAGCAGGACAAGGCAGGACGGATGGATTTGAGGCTGGCGAGGAGGAAGCCCCGGGGCAGCGAGCGGTGCCGTGAGGCCTGGGTGAGAGCAGGAGGGACCTCCTGGCTGCGGCCGCCGTCTAGGGGTGCTTGGCTGCTCCTGATGACCCCCAGCGGGTGTGGAAGTGGGGTGTACAGCCCTAGGGACAGCTCCAGCAGGGGGTGCTTTCCGCACACCCTTTGGCTTTGGCAATGCCAGTGGCTTGCAGTGGAGAAGGTGACTTTGAACAGCCCCCAGAGTCCTGACGCTGGAGCGGGAAGAGGTGGATGTCACTGCGGGCACCACTGTTGCCCGCCCAGGTACACAAATGCCAGCCCTCGGCACAAGAGTGATGCCCGGCTTCATTTCGCCTGTGGCCCAGATAACCCAGGACCACTTGAGAGTGGGAGCCCTGAGAACCACACCCCGCTGGGCTCCCTGACACCCTGCAAGCTCAGCACACTTGGCTGAGTGAGGTGCACGGTCCAGCACCACTCTGCATGGGTCGGCCCAGTATGGGGCAGTCTCTTAACTGACGATGGAAACTGGGTGAACACATGAGGAGCTTAGCTCTGAAAAAGCAAAACCTGCACCAAGTGAAAGGACCCTCCCAAAACAAGTGTGATGGCTCAGATGTCTCCTCACAAAATGTTAAGCAGCCTCAAAGCGCTAGACCTGTCCTGAGACAAATTCTATCTTCTTTGGGTACACGATGGACTAAGGCAGAGGGGTTTGTATGTCCCTTAGGCCAAGGGAAGTAGGGGCTCCTAATGGAATGGGAGCACAGACCAGTGGCCATCACCGTCCTAACAGAGAGATTTCCTCATGGAGGAGCTGGTGAGCTGGTGTGCACCTGACAGCCCAACAAATGGGGAGGCTGAGGCAGGAGGAGCACCTAGTCCTACCCGGGCTGCCTGGGTAGCAGAGCAACTGTGCTCCAGAAGAGAAGGAAAAGCGATTTCCAGAGGAGGGGAGATGGGGTGCCCATCGCCCAGCGGTATCTGGAGGGTGCCCCTGGAAAGGCCTGACCTCTTCTCTCTGACTGCAGTAGTGTCTCTATGTGCAGGACTCACACCCAAACCCTGAAACCGCAGCCCCTTGCCTGTGCTGTGCGCTGAGCTGACTCTTGCTCATTGCTAGCGCGTGTGCCTGGGGTGGGGATGTGAAGCCAGCTCCGAAGGAGCAGCACAGGGACAGAGCTGGCTGACTCAGCTCAGCTGACCACTGGACGCCAGTGCCGGTCAGCCCAGCCCCGAGCGTGGCGTGGCTGAGCAAGGTTCCTGCCCCCGGTAGACACAGGAACGAAGGCCAGTGGAGCCAGGGAAGGGCCGGGAGTGGCACCAGCTTTGGCCTGCTGCGCACAGGCAGTGTCACAGCTAACTTCAGAGCTCCAGGGACAAGCCCCTAACTGAGCTGGATGTGAGGGAGCTGCCTGGTCACTGAGGCGCTCTGGAGGCTGAGGCAGGGGGATGGCAGGTTTGAGCCCAGCCTGCACAAATTTTTGTTCAGTTTTTGTCGTCATGAGCATTTTTGCTCAGCGTGAAGAGGTACTGTCAGCTGGGTTTGGGCCATAATCTGCAGCAGTCGGGCTCCTTTACCCTCTCTCGCTCTGCACGCGCCAAGCTCAACCGCCACACCACAAAAATAAAGACCTGCTGGTTATTAGGGTATTAACTTTGGAAAATTAAATCAAGGCCCCCACAGACACATTCTCCTCCCTAATTTTTTTTTTTTTTGTCTTTTTCCTTTTTATCGGTACCGGGCATTGAACTCACGACTGTCTGCTTGCAAAGCAGGCACTTATGCTGCTGAGCTAAATCCCCAGCCCCTATTGTTCTTTTTTTAAAAACCCACAACATGTCCACACGAGGAGGAGCACAGCTCGCCCCTCCGCTCCTCTCCTAAGGGTTGGTTGGGTGCTTTTCACAGCAGTGGCGCTGGATCCCGGGGGTGCTGCTTTGGGCAGTCGGGCTGACCTGGAGTTGCAGTCTTCTGTAGACAGGATATGTCACGGGTCACGCATGCTTCTGTGCAAACTATAACGTGTTGCATGATGGAAAGCACGATCCTGAGGAGCACGGAGCACGCACAGGGCTCCCGCTCTTGGTGGCCGGGCAGTGATGATGCCACCGCCTTCGGAAAGCAGGCACCACTGTGAGGAGATGCGCTCGGACCGAGTGGCCGTCCAGTTCCCTCATTTTAAATAAACGGCTTGCTGTCATTTCTAAATAAGCCTTTGGCTTTTCCCCCTCCTCCTTTATTTTCAGTGTTCTGGGCTGACACTCGGGGCCTCAGGTCTGCGGGGCTCCCTGAGCTGCACCTCGGACCTTAGTTTCTTTTTTTTAACAGGACGTAACTTTTTGTGCGCTGGACTTTAGGCCCAGCACCTCGTCCATGGCTCCTACATTTCTATTCTTGTTTAATAGGCCAGAGTTTGACGATGAAGATGCATGAATGCATTGTGCATAACGTGTTCTCAAATAACAGGAAAAATTATGACTAAGGCAAACAATGCTATGACAAAGGAATAAAATGCAGTTTAAAATAAATCATCAAAGCCCAGCGTGTCTGTGTCATTCCAGTGTCACACGTTAGCTCTTAACACTCTGGGATATGTCACTCCAGGGTCCCAGTCCCGAGAGTCTGGCCCTGTCTGCGGCGGTGGGGCGCTGGGTCCTCCGGACAGGCAGCCGCTGGAATTCAGCCTCCAGTCTTCTTCCTCTATTTTTTTTTTTTTTTTTTTTTTTGGCTTTTTCGTTTTTATCGGTACCGGGGATCGAACTCACGACTGCCTGCTTCCAAGGCAGGTGCTTATGCCGCTGAGCTAAACCTCCAGCCCCTTCTTCCTCTATTTTTAAGGTAATCGGGGCGTGACTACTGGTGGGAGCTCCACAGGGCAAAACCTAAGGGGAGGAAACGGGCTCGGAACCCTGGTCAATGAGCAGCGCTGCCCAAAGTTACATGAGGGGTGGAGTCCGTCTGTGGGCCTCGGCCCAGGGCGTGCGGGAACTTTGGGGGTGCACAGGGGCTTCGGGGCGCATGCCCACTCCGGCGCTTTGCTGGCCTCCTTCTCCTTCCTCTCTCTCTCTTCTTTTTCCTTTTAGTACCCGTTTGCTGTCTGTCATAACTGTGTGCATCGCGGGCCGCTGGGCCGTCACAGACCGTGACCAGATTTTCGCTTTCCCTTCCTGCGTGCTGCTCTCTCTTTTCCGCCTCCACAGTCTGCCCCCTGGGCCTGAGGCCTCTTTTGCTCTTTATTTGTACTTGGTGTTTCTCATACATAAGAAACTGGGATACTTAACCTTGGGCATCTGATTTATTTCACTGAAGGTTATGGTGTCAAGATGATTCCATTTTTCTACGAGAGACTCAAATTTACCCATATTTATGGCTGAGTAGTATTCCACTGTATATAAAAACACTTTATTTTTTTCATCTGTTGGTGAGCATAAGCTGCCTGCAAGATTTAGCCATTATGGATTGTGCTGCTATAAACACAGGTATGTGTGTGTCACTGTAATATGATGTCTTTACCACTTTCATAGAGTTGCCTAGGAGGGGAATACCTGGGTCCAGTGGAATTTTTAGTTGTAACTTTTTGAGGAATCTCCATACTGTCTTCCGCAGTGGTTGGACTAATTTGCATTCTCACCAACTCTGACCGATGAGCGCCCTCCAGTACTCCCGGTTTAGAGGAGTAATTTCCCAGGACGTACTCCCACGGTGAGTGGCTAAGTGTGAGGTCTTGTCTTGGGTCTTCATCCAGACGTGGTGCACATACAGTCCCGTTCCCTCCCTCCTGCTCCCAGGAACGGGCCCCCAGTAGGAGGCCTGCACTCCCAGTGCAGAAGTGTGAGGCCCAGAGCTCTGAGCCCTGTGCAGTCCCTCCTGGGGAAAGGCAGGCAGACGGCGGCGTCTGTTTCTGTGCCAACATTTACTTACTGAGCCAGTGTCTTACTACGTTGCCCAGGTTGGCCCCAAATTTCTGGCCTTGAATGATTTTCCTGCCTCAGCCTCTTCAGTAGCTGGATGAAAGGCCTGTGCCACTACGCCAAGCTCTGTGCTGAGTGTCCTGTTTATTATCCCCTGGGTCGCTCTCACTGGACCAAGGGAGAGTCATCTGAAAAGCCTGAATCAGAGCATGTATTTTCAGCCTTTCAGTTGGGCGCTGAGTGGCTCTTCGGGTCACATCTGGTTGTGTGGATTATAACAAGGAACTTGGGGCCCGGGGAATGGACCCCACTGGGGTCATCGAGAGCCACTGGAATGAGATGGCTGATAGATTTGATGATGTGGATTAAAGGAATCTCTTCCTTGGGGCATCTATGCTTACTGTTTTGAGAAGCCATCAGTGAAGAGCTATTATTTCTGTCTCAAAGATCCAAAAGCTGATCCCGGGCGTGGAGAGTACAGGGGAGCAACCCGCCATGCTTGCAGCGTGGAATAGACACTCAAAATGAAATGTGAGACCTGGAGGCTGAAGCCCCACAGACTCTCCTTTGTACCTGAGGGAGGGCACTTGGTGCGTTAAATGGAAGATACCTTCTCCAAAACGGATCAAACTGTCTGTTTTGGATGAAGCAGATGAACTGTTGAGCTGAGGCCTTAAGGATCAAATGTACGAGATTTTCCGAGAATTGAATACAAGTATTCAGGTTGTGTAGCTTTCTGCCAGGATGCCAGCTGATGTGGTGGAAGTGACCAATAAATTCATGAGAGATCCAATTTGGATTCTGGGGAAGAAAGAGGAGCTGACCTTGGAGAGACTCAGACAGTTTCATGTCGATGTTGCAAGAGAGGGAGAGTTGGGGAGGCTTCCTGACTTGCAAGAGACGTTCGTCATGACACAGGTGGTCCCAGTGCTGGGCTCGAGCTGCACAAGCTCTGTGCACACTGGGGACTTTGAGGTCTCGCTCTTCTTGCTGACATGGATTGGAAGCAGAGAGATGTTACCTGAGCAAATTCCCAGCAGGGTCAGGCTGTTCCAGACGCTACTGACTTGTGGGCTCCTGGAATCCACGCGCGGCAGGAGTGCTCAGTCTTAGACTGAGATCCACCTACCGAGATCCACCTACTGATCATGAAAACTGTGCTCATAGACTTGGCAGAGGTGGGGGTGGGGGGAGTGGGAGGAGAGGTGCTGCTCTAGACTTCGCTGCTGAAAACAGGCTTCCTCGTGACAACGAGGCTTCCTGCGCTCTGCCGCGGGGGACGTGCCGCGAGCGTGGCCGACCTCCCTTGCTGCCTGGGTCGGGCTGGATTTGTGTCAGGGCTCACTGCTGCAAACAGGCAATCACAGCGTGCACTGTGCTTTTGCGGGGATTTTTGAATCATGTCTCGGTGGTCACATTGGATCAGAAATACAGATTTGGATAGCAGAGTGACTGTCCTGAGCTCTTGTGAGGAAAATCATAGGCTTTGTCCTTCTTTAGACTGTTGGGGTGTGTATAAAATATAGGGGCTTGTAAAATCTTTATTCCTTAGAAATGTATTTGCTAGTTCTGTAGAAATGGTTGTATTAGATGTTCTCTATCATTTAATAATACGCTTGGGGACTGAAAGTTTAAGTGCTGTGTAAAATCAGCCAGCTATATTAAGTGAGCATCTCTGTCCTTACTGTGTTTGTCTTTGGCCTGATTTTTATGAAAGCATCTGAATGCATTGTATTTATTCAATAAATTATTTAATTAGTGCTAAGTATGAACAGGACCCAGCAAACAATCATATCGTAGGTAGGTTAGACCCCCAGTGAACTTGCCACACTGCATGCATCGTAATGAAGTTTGAAAGTTAAATAAACTGCATATTCACTTTTAAAAAAACGTATTTCCAGAGGCTGGGGGATACTCAGGGGTATAGCACATGTTTGGCACGTACAGATTTCTGGGTTTCAACCCTGCACCACAAACACAAACAAAAACAAGTGAAAAAGGTAAACTTTAAAAACCACAGGACTGAGAACTGGATAAATAAATTATATTACTTGAATGTAGACACGTTTTAAAACTATTTAACATACTCTACCATACTTTTAAGTCTCTTCATAATTGTTTTAGATTTTCCTTGTAATGCAAAAAAATCTATAAAATCTGCTCACTACATTATAATCTTAGTGTACCCTGTGATCTCAGCACTCAGAGGCGGAGGCAGGAGCGTCGCTGTGAGTTTGAGACCAGCCTGGCTGGTCAGGGAGATTGAGGCTAGCCTGAAACACATGCCTCAAAAAGAAAAAAAGGATATAAAATATAAAATGCAGGGACTCTCAAGCTAGTTGTTATATATCAGTGTGATGAGAGAACAGGAAGCGACCAAAGGTGATAAGAACTTGGATTTTGTGAATACCTACAACTAAGTGGACGAGGCTATGAACAAGAAGAAATTCTGTGTGCGTTAGTTCTCCCAATACCTGGGATTTAAGGAGGGGGGTTGGTTTGGGCCGGGGGCCTTGGAGGATCCAGGGTGTGTTCAGCTGAGGCTGAGAGCCCAGTGGAGCCCAGTGGAGCCCAGCATCCCAAGACCGCACCTGCCCAGCACCCCGGGTGCTTTTTTATTTTTATTTTTATTTGTTTGTCTTTTTTGAGATGGGGGTCTCGCTATGCAGTTCAGGCTGGCCTTGAGCTCACTTTGTAGCCCAGGCTGGTCTTGAACTTGCAACGATCCCCCCACCTCAGCCTCCTGAGTGCTGGGATTACAGGCGTGAGCCACCACGCCTGGCTCCAGGTGCTTTATTAAGCCACAGGTGACCCCTGGATGATCCCGTTGACCACGAAGCCTAAATGCAAATTTTAATGTCAATTAGGATTCTCTCACAGCTACAAGTGACAGAAGACCCGAGCAACTTAAGGAACAGAAGAAAGTGACTGATGGAAATGAAAAGTTTAAGAGGCACTGAAATCACTTCCAAATGGATCAGGGACCTAAAGGAAACAAAGCCGTAAAGATTCTAAATGGAGGGCAGGTGGAGAAGGTAGGTAACCTCATTCAAAGCACAGTCATGAGAGGAAACAATGGATTAGCTGTACTTCATTAAAACTGAAAACATCGATTCTGGGGAAGACGGTTCGGAGACTGAAAAAGCCTATCACAGGATGGGAAGACACTTTTGCAAAACCCTGTTCGGGTAAAGCACTTGTATCCAAAGTTTTCATCTGCACAAAACTTAAGCTCAGCAATAAGGTACTTAAAAAGCCATTATGGCCCAACAAGGGCAACTCAGTGACTTAGGCTTTGTTCCAAATAAAAATAAAATTTAAAAAATAGGCCGGGGGGGGGGGCTGAGGATTTAGCTCAGTGGCATAAGCGTCTGCCTTGCAAGCAGATAGTCGTGAGTTCGATCCCTGGTACTGATAAAAAGGGAAAAGACAAAAAAAAAAAAAAAAAAAGAAAAGAAAAAAACATAGGCCAGGGATGTAGCTCAGTGCCAAGGCCCCAGGCCAGCCTCTAGTCCGGGGTAGGGAGCCACTTGAAAGGGGCAAAGACACCTCAGCAACAGAGATGCACGGTGAAACACCTGCACACACGTTCAAAGCCCTCGCTCAGTGGGAGGTGTGAACTGAAGCAGCAGCGGGGCACACCTGGGAGGTGCTCGGTCAGGAGCAGTCGCCCCACTCAGGACATGGGTACCAAGCACAAGCACTCCCTTGCGCTGCTGGCGGAAATGCAAACCGTGTAGCCCGCTGGGTGGGGTTCCCCGGCGGAACACGTGGTGCACAGACCGAGTTAAACACACAGGTGAACAAAATCCTGCACACGAATGTTTATGTTTTCTCACAGTGGCCCCAAACAGAAGCAATCAAGATATCAGTCAGTGGGTGAGTTGGCAAGAAGCCTGTGGCTCCCTCGTTATCCAGTGAGTAAAAAGAGGCTGAGCCGTTGGGCTGTAAAAAGGCAGAGCAGCTTTGAATTCGTGTTGCAAGAGAGAGACTATAAGAGAGCGATCAAAACTATGGTGAGCATTTAATTTTTGAAAGAACTTTGCTACAGTGAAGGACACACAATCATTAACCCCCTGGATTTGTCCTCCTCCCTTCAGACACTCTTCCTGCCCACTTGCTGCTTTCTGAGCAGTTCTCGAAGTCCTTCAGGAGGTGCCACCAAACACAGTGGCCTCGGGTGCTGAGGCAGCCGACAGGAAGCAGTTCACGAGGAAACCCTGCACCCCCGTCCTCTGTGCCCCGGGTGGCACCGCACGGCTCTGCCTTTTTCCTAACAGGGAGAGGGCCACAGAGGGGAAATAATTCGGATGGGCTCGGGGACCAGGCAGCCAGCACCACCAGAGACACAGAAGCCCAAAGCGGCGGAGACCTCAGCTGGGCATGTTGGCTGTGCACAGCGGGATTCACGGCCACGTGCCCTTACAATTCTTTTAATTTAAACTCTCTCAGTTTTTCTGTCTACCTAATGTGTGCCATGTGGCTCTGTCGCACTAAGGGACAGGAAAACTGCAGTGAAGGAAAGGATCAGGGCTGGCCAGGAGCTCATAGGGCAGAAGGGGAAAATGGGTAAGAGAAACACAGGGCATTTTAGGGTGGCGGAACTGTTGTGCGTGACTTCACAGTGGCTGAGTAACCTTAAGAATTTATCAAAACCCATATATCAAAATGGATATCAAAAGTGCAAACATTAATCATATATGCAAATTTTTAAAGAATTATTTAGGAGCATGGGGGTACATTTCCAGGAAGGATTCACATTGTGACAAGAGACCTGCGTAACAAATGTGGGAACAGCAACACTGCGGGGCAGTGCTCTGAGCAGTGTCCCCCACGGGTCTCCCTCCCCCCTGTGGGGCTCAGGGGCTGCTGACAGCAGCGGTCAGACCCTGCCCAGCCCTAGAGTGGGGCTGCTTTGTGTGGTCCAGGCGTGTCGGCCGTTCTGCCCAGGGAGATCAGTGGGCCTGGCTTAGCCTGCGTGACTGGCCTCCTGTTGCCAAGCAACCAGGAAGGAAGCCAACCTTAGGCAGACTCCACAGTGGAGAGGGACCGTGTCCCCAAAGCCCTGAGGTAGAAGGAGGGAGGAACAATGTAATTGTCATAAATACCCACTGTCAGTACCCAGGGGCACTCCAGCATAGCACCTGCTCAGAATTTGAAGGGAATAAAGGAGACAGGCGGATTTTAGTTTATGTCCCACAAACCTACCACACGTACTCTATTTTTTAGATTTGTGGAATTATGCAGACATATTCTGTGTAGTTCTAAATAAGGTAAAGGGACAAAACACGATCCAGTGACTCTGATAAATACACATCTTGCTCAAGTTTTTTTTTTTTTTTTTTTTTGTCAACCAGATGTGTCAAATTTGTAAAGCTGTAAGAGGCTTACTGCATCACTAACAACAAGATTCTGACTCAAATACTTTCTATTAACCACAGGCAGCTCATTGCACCCTAACTGTAGATGCCACATGCTGGTGAAAAGGCTTCCTTGCGAAAATTAACCCAGACAGAGTGGCAGCTGCCACGAAGATGTGGGTGTGGTGATTAGCAGCCACCAAGGGCCGAGTGGTGTGAGATACTGGAGTCCTGTAAACGGGCCAAGGATGCAGCCCTTTCCGACCCCTGGTGGACGTGTCCCAGAAGCTCTGCTCACCTGTGACCACCATCCGTTTCCCCACAGTCGCAGACAGCGGCTCCTGGTAGGACAGGGACGCCATAGTGACAGACTTTCTGGGCCGCTGGGACCAGGCTGGCTCCCACAGACTGGTGAAGCTGCACCACGAGACCGAAGACCTGCCCTCCCCGAGGAGACCTGGCTGGTTGCTAAGAACTCTTATGACAAGAGAAAGGGTGTCCCAGCTACCAGCCCAGCATTCCAGACTGCCAGCACCCACAGCCTCGGCAGTGGCTCCCCCGGGAATGGCCTCAGCGATGACTCTCCTTTTCTGTCCAGGTGGGGCCACAAGTTTTGTCCAGCACCAGTTCTGGAGCTGGCTTCTGTCCCAAATGGTCCAGCAGGTGCTGCCACAGGCATCTTGCAGAGTTCCAAAAAATAGCAACCATGATTAAATACATTGGGAAAACACTGACTAGATAAAATACAATCATATATCTATATCTATGTATATCTATATCTCTATATATCTCTATATATCTATGTATCTATCTATATATATCCATATATATAGATAGATTTATAGATCTATAGATATATATAATTTTTTTGAGCAGGGTCTCGCTATGAAGTTCAGGTTGGCCTTGAGCTCATTTTATAGCCCAGGCTGGTCTCAAATTTGAAACAATCTGCCTACCTCAGCCTCTCAAGTGCTGGGATTACAGGCATGCTCCACCACAGCCAGATAATCAGAGATCATGTTAATACATGAATAAGGAAAAAATACAGAGGTTGCCAAAAAATGAATGTTCCAGGAAAAGAAAAACTTGTGTAAATATTTTAATACTTATTTTTTTGAAACATCACAAGATTAATACAAGGTACCTTTGGCTCCTACAATTACAGGCGGTGCTTGGAGTGGTGGCTGTGAGCTTCCCGACATTCATTAGTACAGTGAACTGCTCTAGTGTGTGTGTGTATTATATTTAAGGGGTGGGTTATGTGTATTTCCAGTCTCATAGTACAATACCTTTTTAAATACAGTTTGTGCCTTGGGCACATCCATTTATCTGTGGCCTTGTATAATGTTCTTTCATTCTTTGCAGCCTTTATACATAGAATTTTGTCTTGCTGGAATATCTCTAAGCAAATATTTCTTATACTCCAAGACCCAATGCCCACATACTCCTTAACCAAGTGTTTTCTTCTTCAGGCTCTTTAACTTCTACAGCATTGTGATTAGGTCTATCTTTTTAACTCATATTACTTTGTTTTAATTATTTGCAAGTGGCTTTAAAATTTTTGTTTTGCTTTGTTTTGCCAAACTAGAGATCCAATCCAGCCCTGCACACACTGAGCAAGTGTCCTACCACTGAGCTATACCTTAGCCCCTGAGATATTTTTTTCTTTTTTGAAACAGGGTCTCAATATGTGATCCTCCCACCTCAGCCTCCTGAATGCTGGGATTACCGGTGTGCCCTCGGTATGTATTTTGCCTACCTCCCCATTGTATTCTAGCTTCCAGTTCATAATTTTTAAAATCTTTATTTAGTTTGGTATGGTGGAGCATGCCCATAATTCCAGCTACTCAGGAAGCTGAGGCAGGAGGATCACAAATTCAAGCCCAGCCTGGGCAACTTAGCAAGACCTTGTTTCAAAATAAAATTTTAGAGTGCTGGTTAGCTAGGTGTGGTGGTGCTTGCTTGTGATCTCAGCACTCTGGGAGGCTGAGATTTAATCCCTACCCATGAAATTTAGCAATTTAGTAAGACCCTGTCTCAACATAATTTTTTAAAAAGTAGAGGGGTTGGGTGCAGGCTCTGGGTTCAGTCCCCAGTACCACAAATGAATGTATGGATGGAAGGAAGGATGGATAAATGGAAGGATAGATGGAAGGATGGATGGATGGAAGGAAAGATGGATGGATGGATGGATGGATGGATAGATGGGTAGATGGATGGATGAAAGGATAGATGGATGGGTGGATGGAAGGATGGATGGATGGAAGGATGGATGGATGGAAGGATGGATGGATGAGTGAATGGATGGGTAAGCGAATGGATGGATGGATGAAGGCTGGATGGAGCAGGGTGGCAGAGGGCTTGCCTTCTGGGGAGGGCTTTCCTCACTTTTAACCCCCACCCACTGCCACACAGCAGATAGTTAATGCAGACTTATGGATGAATAAATAGTGAACAGGTGACTCCGGCCACCAAGAATCATCCCATTAATGGTCCCCAGGATATGCATTCTAACAGCAGTTTTGAATTCACTAAGTAGTGGAGTTTAGCTGAAGATGTAAGGCCTCCTCTTTGCTGAGGATGATAATAAAAATGGGCTGGGGATTTAGCTCAGTGGCATAAGCACCTGCCTTGCAAGTGCGTGGTAGTGAGTTTGATCCCCGGTACTGATAAAAAAGCAAGCAAGCAAACAAAAAAAACCTCTCTGCTACCAGTGGGAGGCATGGCATGGCGTGGGGTGGCAGGAAGCCTGCCCCTGTCCTTGTCTCCAAGTCCAGTCCTCCAGGACCTCCCCTGCCTCAGGGGAGCCGAGTTCCAGGCCAGGTCCGAGCTTGGCCAGGCCAGGCGGGCAGAGCCCTTCCTGCTGTCTGTTTCTTCCCCTCAAGGCGGGCTTGCAGCTAGTGCACACAACTGCCATGCAGAGAGCCTGCCGGCCTCCTGGCTCCGCCCTGACCCCAGGCCCTGCCTGCAGGAAGCAGGCTCAGCCTCACTCCTGACCTCAGGTGTCTTCCTGGGTCCTGGCTGCATCACATTCTTTTGACCCCGATGGTACTGGTTCACTGTGGTTCAGAAGCTTCCTAAAAATAAAACAGATACACATTAATAATCATAGGCTCACCTTTTTTCAGGAAACTGGCCCACTGAACACACTTTCTTCTTCCCTGCTTTTTTCTCTTAACACATCTGTAGATCATTTTATAATGTTATAGAAAAATAGGGATTTTTTTTTGATGGACTGCAAAATAGTGAAATGTGTGATTTACCATAATATATTCAGCCGGTCCACTAGTAATAAACATCTGATAATGGTATTATAAACAATGCTATCAAGTATCATTTTTTGCATGCCCTTCCTCCTATTTTTGCAGGCATCTTTGGTGTCACCCCAGGATGATGCAGCCACAGCTGCGAGGCAAGGCACATGGAATGTGGTTAGCACCACTCAGCGCCTCCCTCCCTCCTCTCAAAGGGCAGCAGCTCGGATTCCCATTCATAGCACGGTGAATGCCTGTGTTCGTATTTTCATGGAGCCTCATGCAGAGTTTCTGTTAAACCTTCTGACTTTTGTCTATGTGTTACTTAAGAAATAATATCAACAATTTACAGGTACTTTGTTAATGTGATTGAATGTCTTGCCATATATTTAAGGGTTATGAGCATTATTTTTGTAAAGTGTTTAGTTTTTCTTTTGTGTATTTGAATATTTTTCTATCAGATTGTAACTTTCTAATATCCTTCTTTTCAAAGAGTGAGCTAACCTGCTGAAGAGACCTGCAGAGTTTTGCCGTGCAGTGCAGCAAGTGTTACGATGTCTGAGGGAACCCCCTCAGCGTGAAGCTGCTTTGTGCACAGAGCCTTTGGAGCAGAGGGGACCCAGCTTGGGACAGAGTGCAGGGCGAGGCAGGAGTTTCTGAGGAAATGGCGTCTGAGCTATGTTTAAAGGGTGACCAGGGTCCAGGTAAAGGATGGAAAGCTAGAGCCTGGCGTGGGCAGGAAGAGATTCTGTAAAGAAGACAGCAGAGCAGAGCAGAAGGCTCTGAGGGGGAGAAATACCATCCCACGGCACATTACGCAGCACAAGCCCCAATTCAACGCTGCTGGAGTCATGACTAAGAGGGTGTCTTAGCCAACTTTCCATCACGGTGGCGACTTGGCTTTGGTTTCAAACAGATCAGTCCCTGCTCAGTCGGCCTGGTGGCTCTGGGGCTGGTGGTGAGCTGGTGCATCGTGGGAGGCTCATATTGGGAAGCCAGGGTCCCCATATCCCTTTCCTGGGAAGGCCTCCAGGACCTCCCGAAGACCCCCACCTGTCCTGATCCCACCATGTGACAGGCTCGTGGGGATCCTGGCCTAAGCTCTGCCTGAAGGTGAGCTGATGACAAGGCCCTGCACCCTGGGCGAGCCACAGGCTTTGTTCCCCGTAGTGAGCACCCGGAAAGGCAGTGAGCAGGGCGGGGACTTGGTACTCTGTGAAGAACAGTCTTGAGGCGGAAGGCTTGGAGTCCCAGCGCCCTTGCAGGCAACTGGTGAGGTCATCCAGGAAATCTAAAATGAGCCCTGAACTGGGCCTGGGGCCACAGGAAGGGAGGGGACGAATGGGGAGGAGGTGGCAGAGGGTGAGAGCAACCCTGGCTTTCTAACTGGGTGGACTGGTAGCAGCACCCAAACACAGACAGAAAATAAAAGACAGAATGAGATTTGGTCAATAAAGCGATCCTAGTAGCAATGAGGAAAGGGACAGGGTTAACCGGGTATGGGTTTGTGCTGTGTGTGCTGACAGCACACTAGCAAAGCAGTTAAAATTACAGCCCAAATTGCCATAAAATATCATGACAGCTACTGAACTCATTAGAGGGATCGAAGGGGTCTCCCAGGCCAACAGATCACTTCTGTCAGAGAAAACCTCCGCTGTAGATGAGTACATGCAGCCTCTTGGAACCAAGCTCAGACTTTGCTGCTCAGAAGGAATGAAATTTTGCTATTTTCTTGCTCTCTCTCAGAATTTAACAGCCTTCAGAGTTGATAACCATTTAACAGTTAACAACTTGGAAGTTGACACAAAAATACCTCCATCTCACCTTTGGGATGGAATCAAGTTATACATTTTAATGATCTGAAATGACACAAACAGGAAACTTTTATAATACAGCAGTACTATATACCTCCAAATAAACAGAGGTCAGAGTTTACTACAATTACAGAACACTATTCAAATACCTCTCCTGGGGCTAGGGACGTAGCTTAGTGATAGGGTGAGCACTGAGGAGAGGCAAGGCCTTGAGTTCAACGATGACACCAAAGAAAAAGTGAAAAAAAGTGAGTCGAGTATCCCGTGGCTGGCACTGTTTCTAATCTGCGGGGAGCCAGAGCCCCACACCGCGCGGAGCTGTCCTCCTCTGAGATACAGTCCCCGCCTTCCCTGAAATTTTTAGGAACAAATTCTTGAATGCCTTTCCTCTGGTGCCTGTTTTCAGAAAGCCATCAGGAGGACACAGCCTTGCTAAGTCCCCGCACTGCCTCTGTGCACCTGCGAATCACTGTGTAGTACAAGGAGAATCCCTGTGGGGGATTTGGATACATGGGAGGAGCTAACCTGTGCCAAGCATCTGCCCACACCCTGAACACACACCCTCCTCACCCTGGACGGACAGCACGTATAGCAGTAACGGTGTCACTGTGATTCTCGCAGCTTCACTTCCCGTGTTGGTTTGCAGGACCAGCTCGTGATCGGCGGTGGCCTTGCACCCACTGAGTGAGTCCTGCAGTAAGCGGCACCCAGTCGCCATCTCTCGCCAGATCGTCAACTCAGTTTCCCACAGCTGTAGGGAACCTAACAGGGGACCAGAAAACACCTAGACTTTTTGCGTATGTGCAATTTTTTTTTTAAATAGTAAAGCCATGAAACATTTTAATTGTTATACTATGTATTTAAAAATAATGTAAAACAAATGTTACAAGGCAGTGAATAACCACTTCTTATACACATGACAAATGTGTCAGCTGTCAGTGTTAAACACAATCGCAGCTAGGACCAAGACTGTGCCCTTCTCCTGCTTCGAGTGGATGCTCACTCGGTCCCAGGTGGTTGGTTCGGGACTAACCCAGGCCTTGGGAGTCTGGATGTGGAGCCGGGAAAAAATGCTTTCCCCGTGGTGTTTTGCCTCTGGAAAGAATCTGCGTGTCTCTGCCCACTCAGTGTTAAAGGCACTGGGTGTCTCTTCTGAGGTTTTCATGTTCTTCTTATAGGGGGTATATGATACCCCAAAGCCTCATGTGGTCATGGGGGAGTCACAGGGTTTGTGATGGATTCATGGTCCAGTGCTGCTGGGATTATGGGTGTGAGTGCTACGCCTGCCCTAGGGTGGGTGTGGCCTGCATACAATATAAGTGAGGGAAAGAGTGTTTGTTCCATCCCCCCACTTTCTTGGTCTTGCTGCTTTTGCTGTTTTCCACCACCATACATTGTTCTCTTCTGACATGCCACCTTGCTTTGGAGCCAGCTGATTATGAACTAAAACCTCCACGAACTGTGAGCTAAATAAACCTTTCCTTCCTTCATTCTGGGTATTGGGAATTTTGTCTCAGCAATGAGAGGCAAGCACTAACAAGGTAGTTAACATTTCTGGTGATACCTTCTTCCGGTTGATGAACAAATGGAACTGCGTGCTCACTGTGTCCCCAGCGCTGTATTGCCACTCCCAGAATTCTTTGTGGTCTAAACATAGAGACATTGTGGGGTGACATCTCAGTGACCAAGTTCTGTCACATCGCCCATGTGTGACACAAAGTATCAATTCCCAAATCTGGCTGGTTACCTCTGATGTTTTGTGTCTGCAGTCAAATATTTATCATCAAAAAACATGGTTTTCAAAGTGTCATTTTTGCGTGATTGAAACTCTCCACATGAACAAGTATGAAACTTCCCTCTCTGGCTCATGGCCACATCCCAGGCCACGAGTGTGAAAGAGGCATGGTGCCTTCACTTACATCTCTGCCACCCTCACATGTCTACTCACTCCAAGCTTTCTCTGTTCCTTGGCCATGGCTCGAGCCTCTGGGAGCCACAAGACCCCCCCCCCCCAAAAAAAGAAGCTGCTCTTTAATTTCCCTTCATTATGTTTCGGGCTGGGGAGGGAGTCCAGGGCCTCATGCACGCTAAATGTGTGCACTTACCACGAGCTGCATCCCTGTGCTAAGGAGCAGCTCCTTCACTGAATCCACCATGCCCTGGATCCAGTGTGGGCCGAGTGCTCTTTGAGGCACCTCTGAAGCACACTGCTGAACAGTTCCAGAAACGATCCTGCCCGGCCCCCAGGCCTTCTCTGCACGCGGCCTTGTGCCATTCCTGCCCCTTCCTGGGAAATCTGCCTCTAGGCCTCCATTTCCTTCCTCCCCGGCTCCTTGTTTCCTGTCCCCTGTCACTGTCACAGGGCCTGGCTCAAGTCATTCTCCTTACAAACTCCAGGTGCCCTCCAAACCCTGGTGCAGTGAGTGGCCCAGCGCTCACCGAGAGGCAGCTCCTCCCTTGCCCAGCGCCTGGGTCCTCACCACGTGCTGCTCAGTCCCACACCAGCGTCTGGAGCTGAGTGTCCATGCTTGTGGCTTTCAGGGATGGATTCTAGCACACAGGGGGTCATTGTCCACAGCCTGCCGCAGACCCAGCACCTGGACATCAGGGACTCTGGTGACTACTGTCCCCAAATCGTCCGTGAGATAATAAACCGGTGTATCATATGGATTCAGCCTTAGGGTTTCAGTATAAAAATGACTTTTTTTCATGTCTATTTTACTAGGATTTTAAAAACTTAAATGCTTTCGTCTAAACTTTCACATAGCATTTTCAGATGTTATTTTAAGCAGCTAGGACATTTTCCACAGGTGAGGACCCCAACATCTGTGAAAGGAATCTCCACTCTGGGCCTCCTTGGTGGTGGAAGCTGAAACTCTGCCTCTGACCAACAAACAGCCTGGAGGGAGGAGGAGTCAGCAGACCCAAGTCACAGCCTGGCGCTCTGCACACTCTGCATGGAGGAGAAGTGAACTCACAGCTTCCGGGTTCTGGGGCTGGAGAAGACCAAGGTGGGGAACTGAACTGAAAGAGAAGGCGTGGGGAGCTGGAGGACTGGACAGGCTCAGGGCACATTGCCGAGGGCCACTGGGATTCCAGCTTCTGCCCACCCCCTAGGACATGGAAGGGATGTCGAATTTCTGGGAATGACGGTTTTAAACTCTTTGTTACCTTGGATACAACCATCGTAGGGTTTTGTTTTTTACAAGGTTAAGGGCTGAATCCAGGACCTCAACGTGCTAGGAAAAGCTCTCACCCTTCAGCTGCACCCCAGGCCCAATTTTTTTCTTTTTCTTTTTGAGACGGGTTCTCACTATGTAGTCCCTGCTGGCCTCAGCCTCCTGCGTGCTGAGACTATAAGCATGCACCACCACGCCCAGCTCAAATGCGACATTTTGGGAGGTGATAAACAGGGTGGGGGCAGCACACGGCTTCCGTTCAGGGTCCTGAAACACTAGCAGAGCCAGAAGCCCAGAACCAAGGATTTCAGACATGGATGATTCCCCAGGACCCACAGTCCTTGTTCAGACTCAGGACTGGACCAAAATGAATGTTTTTCAATTATTTCAAAATAATTTGTGTAGTTAACAAAAAAGGTATAAATATTCAGGAAATTGATTACTTAATCATCTGCATTTTTAACCCTAACTTTATCAAAAGTACCAGAGTTGAGGAAACGTTGATGGAATCATAGATACATTATTTATTTTGGATGATTCACATTCTTAAATTGAAAAACTTGTTTCTAAAACAGCACTGGAATTTCTCCTAGGTGGTTAACATGCTTTATTTTTTTAGGCCATTAAGATAAAGAAGGAGAGGTAGGCTTGGAAGGCCAGTGACACAGCAAGGAGAATGAAACTGTTCCACTAAGGAAGAGATTGGGCGGGCCAGAGGTGGAGGAGAAGGAGGTGGAGCAGCTCCAGGAGGAGAAAGGGGGAGCTGCACTCAAATCACCCCAAAGCGAGCATCCGAGACTCATAGAGGCCGGAACAGCCTCTGTGCTCTGTCTCCCTAATGGGTGCCTCTGGCTGGGACTCCTGTGAGGCCGCAGAGAGGGCTCCGGGGTTGAGCCCTTGCAGGGGCACTGACTCCTGCACCATCCCTTGCATGGCCGTGGGCAGGTTTGGTTCTGGGGGTCCCTGGGACTAAGGGGACCTATGTGGGAAGTCAGAGCAGGCACCCAGGGTAAAGCCGCAGCTGCCCTGACACCATCTGAAAGATGACGACCCTTGGGTTTGAAGCCTGAAGTGGTTTGCAGAGCTGCTGTGTCTTTTGAAGCAGCTGAGCACCCCAGGGAGCGCTGGAGCCAGGGCTCATCCATGCAGAGGCACCACGGCTGGCTGGGGAGTCAGATGTTACCCAGGCTCGTGCTGGGTTGCCTCCCTCCAGCATCCTCAGGGGCTTCTTACAGAGTCTCATGTTCAGTGGTCATTTTTAAATGTTAAGAATATTTGGGGGCTGGGGATTTAGCTCAGCGGCATAAGTACCTGCCTTGCAAGCAGGCGGTCATGAGTTCGATCCCCAGTACTGATTAATAAAAAAAAAAAAAAAAGTTAAAAATATTGGTCCTGCTTTTCTGAAACATTTAATCTTATGGGTTTTTAAAAGGACAATGAAAAGCAGATTGTACCACTATGCAGGCCCTCAGTCCTGGCACTCTGGGAAGCTGAGGCAAGAGGATCCCAAGTCTGAGCTCACCTTGGCCATTCAGTGAGAGTGAGACACTGTCTCTGACTGAAAAACGGAAGGGATTGAGACACAGCTCAGCGTGCAGGCTGGGGTTCAGTGCTCAGGGCAGCAGGCTGTCATGGACAGACTTACAAGGGAACTCATGAACAAGGTACCCAAGAAGTGGCTTCATCCTAACAAGAGGACTCACAGACGCCGAGTTGTTTCTGTGTACACACGTTGCAGCCCTCTGTTGGGTTGGGGCCTGGTGCACGCTGGGGGAGCTCTCCACCTCGGAGCTAGGCCGCTGCCCACCCCGCACACTTCTCTTGCTTGATTTTGTGTTTGTAAAATTCCCTCGCATTCTTCACATTTTCTCTGATTTTGGTGAGGGCATAATTTACATTCGATTCTCAATCAAAAACATTCTTCTCAATCTGCCTCGTCCATGACTTGATTGATTGCGGTTTTATCTCCCCGCTCTTATCATTCATGCTTACAAACAGAAACTCAGAGGCTGCACCCACCCTGGGCTCTTTATCTGCTGTGACAGAAGTCACATGACAGCAGCGTCTGGGCTCTCTGAAAGATACCCAGATGCTCTCAGATAGCTGACGGTGCAGCAGAATTCGGAGCCCGCAGGGAGATAACGAGGCCGTATCAGGCTGCTTTCTGGGGAGCTGGGGCCTGGCCAGGGGATTCTGCTGAGCTACATCCGCAGGCATTCTGCTATTTTTATTTTTTAATTTTGAGGCGAAGTCTTGCTAAGTTGCTAAATTGTCAGTCTCCTGCCTCACCCTCCTGAGTGCTGGGATCACAGGTTTGTGCCATCACACCTGGACCTAGTCCTCAGAGCATGATGGCTCTGTCCATTTCCACCCACCCCTCTTCCCAGCTTCAAGCTCCTTGGAGAAGCAAAGTGATGCCCTGCCCAGTGCCCCGCTCACTGGAGCCTGTGTCCTCCTCCTAGGAGGTTCTGTGTGGTCAGAAAGGACAGGAGCAAGAAGCCGAGGTGTCAGACAGGAGAACTGTGGCCCAGAGACGTAGTAAAGTAAGCTCCAGCTGTTCCTCCCGAGGTACCTTCTCCCCAAGGGCTAAGGACCTCATGCTCTGGTGAGCTGTGCGCACCACCTCTACAGCAGCACAGTTCACAGTGGCCACGCCTTGGAAGCAGCCTACACATCCATCCAAAGATGAATGGATGAAGAAAGTGCATCCACACTCCAGGGAGTACTACTCTGCCATAAAGAAGGATGGGCATGAGGTGTTTATAGGGAAATGGGACCATCCTGAGACCTTAATGTTTAGTGAGATAAACCAGACAAACGAGCTTAAATAGCACGCCTGGCTTCCCTTACATGAGTAACCCAAAGTATAAAGAAGAGATAACAGGAAGAGGGGAGACTGTTCAAAGACTGCAGATGTGTTGCCTACTGTGATACAGAACATGATCACATGATCATGACATACGCAGATAGAGACCAGTAAAGTAACAAGAGGATTGTATGAAGTAAAAGAGCCGTCACCCACACCAGGGCGGGGCTCCACTCAGTCCTGAGCTGTCCTGCCCTGCACCTTGGGCAGGAGGCGCAGCCCTGTGTTGCCTCCCCCACCCCCACCCCTGCACTGAGACCTGGGCTGCAGCAGACAGTGCCGCCTCCCAGCTCTGCCCCCAGCCCTGGACCCTGAGCCCTGCAGGACCCAGCAGGGACCCCAGGAGTACGGGACCACTCCAAAATGCACTCCCGAAGGCACCTGCTCATTGTGGCAACTGGCAATATGAACTTTTCAGGAACCTGAGCTGCTTTAGAGAAAATTC